TTTGACTGACAATATGACTGACGGTTTGACCGACAATATGACTGACGGCTTGACAGCCTCTATGACTTATGGTTTTATTTAGAATATGACTGAGAGTTTGGGTGACAATATGACTCATAGTTTAAGAGAGTGTATGACTGATGGTTTTAGTGAGAATAAGACTGATAGTTTGAGTGACAACATGACTGACGTTTTGACTGACAATATGAGTGACGGCTTTAGTTAGAATATGACTTAGAGTTTAGCTGACAATTGGCTGACAGTTTGAGTGATAATATGACTGAGAGTTTGACTGACAATATGACTGACGGTTTGAGTGAGTGTATGAATGAGAATATAACTGACGTTTTGACTAACAATATGACTGACGGTTTGACATCAAAATTCATTCATATATATGTATTGATCAATGCAATCACCCTATTTAATATTATTATTTATCAATTAATTTTTCATTACTACATGCTCTCAATTATTATGACATTAATATTTATCAATAAATATTTCATTACTATATGCTCCCACCCAATTTGACATTATTGTTCTTTGACAAATTTTTCTTTATTAAAGACACTCTCACAAATTCATATCAATATATTTTAATTATCACCTATTCCAATCCATTTTCATATTCATATTCTTATTGAGTTAGAATAAATTGAGGATGACTGAGAATCAAATTATAATTAGTGAGAATCAATTGAAGAATACTGGGAGTTAATTAAGGTTGTTTAAGAATAAATTGTGAATAAGTGACAATCAATTGAGGATGAGTGAGAATCATTTGATTATTAGTGAGATTCAACTGAACATCAGTGAGAATCAATTGAATAATACTAAGAAGAAATTGAGGAAGAGTGAGAATCACTTGATTCTTAGCGAGAATCAATTAAGGATGAGTAAGAATCAATTAATAAGTAGTGAGAATCAATTTAGGGTGACTGAGAATCAATTGATTCTTAGTGAGAATCTATTGATAATTAATGCGAATCAATTGATTATTTGTGAGAATCAATTGATCAGTAGTGAGGATCAATTGATTATTTGTGAGAATCAATTGAAGATGAGTAAGAGTCAATTGAGGATGAATATAGGGTTGTTAGATTCCCGACGATAGGTGTCTTGGAAGATTTGCCTGGTGTCATCATAGTGTCTTTCAATGAAAAATTTTATTTTGGAGTTAGTTTTATTGATTTTTCAATAAAAAACATTTCTAAAACAAGAAAATAAAACGATAAAATATTTATATTTTATATAAGGATCTTATATATTTAAAATAAATATCATTTTATTTTTTTCATTGGTGTCTGTCAAACCATAATACACTATTCAAAAATTCAATGTGTCTTGCGGTTTCAAAAGACACCTTCAAATTGAACGATAGCACAGACACTATTGAATTTTACCCATTGTATTTAGTTTTTACCCTTTTTATTTTTAAGAATTAATGACTGAAACAGCCGTTTTGCTATGACCTCAATCACTTTTATTAAGGGTTTCGTTTTGCGAAAAAAACGTACAATACGCAATTTCGCTAAAAAAACATTTAGCTAGCAATTTCGACCTTTGACTCCACTCAAGACGTCACTTTTTTAATTTTGCGGTATCATATTTTTGGAAAATCTTTATGAATATTATATAAAAAGTCTCTTTAATATCTATATTTCATATTTTTATCGATTTTTAAAGTTTTTGCGAAAAGTATTCAATTATTTTTGCTATTTTGTCGGGTAAATGTCAGATTTGCGACATTTTCTGATATGATATTCAGATTCTACGTTGATAATAATGCTTATAGAACCCTCTTGCTATTGTGTCAAAATTGCGAAACCGATAGCAAAAATATCTCGCAATATCAAAATTGAGATATTGAGTGAATTATGCATTATAGAGATTAAAAATCTGATTTGTGAAACATCTCATCAGTTTCTAGCTAATTCAAAAATCTTTACTATCTTATTCGATTAAAATGAAAAGGGAATAGTTTCATTATGCTTTAAATGACAGCCTTATAATATAATCATAGTTTTCGCTCAATATGCAGCATTTTTTTTCGAAATCTATGGTCAATGTCCTAAATACTGATTGCTTTGCATTCATATCTCTTACATTTTCTATACCCACATCACTATTCATTGCTATTCCTATCTTTTTCATTTTTGTTTGTTTCTCATAATTTCTCAAAAAACACGATAACTTGATATTTGTAAATATCATACTTTATAACGTAAATAAGAACTTGACCTATTAAGAAAAGCAGTAATGAAAAGAAAATCTGAAATTCATAAAAATTACAAGTTTCTGATGACAATTAGCTTAATTAAACCAGGTACAAGATTATATAATTGTATTTTCTATCCAATTATCCATATAATATCTTATCCAGAAAAAATAACTTGATCAATATCAAATGATTTTTTAACTAGTAAATAAAGTATTTTCTTTACACACATTGTATATCATAGTTTTTTTTTGGTTTCGCAAAACATCCAAAAACAAATATGCTATAAAAGTGACAATTTTAGCAAAACGAAACCCTTACTTTTATTTATTATTTTAAATATTATTTAATTTTATTATTTGAATAGGCCAACTTATATTTGAGAAGCTCAATTTGAGACCACTTAAAACATTGAAATATCATAAATATTGAAATATTAAAAAGTGTATTTCAAAATATTGAAATTATAAAAATTTATAATACTGAAATTGAGACAAATTAATAAATTCAATGCGTTTTTTTTGAAATAACTCTCAAATATTATTTTTTTGTTTATTTAATGATGAATAAATATGATTGCTTTAGTCAATCATAAAAACTAATTTAAGTTTAAAATAATGAAAGGATAATTTGATCGTTTTTTAAAATACAATTATTTTTGATGATTTGCAAGAATCTTTGAAAAGAATATAATATAGGTTCTATTTTTGTAAAATTTATCCAAATCATGTATTACATAAATTACGATTAAAACGATGAAAGAACCAAAAAGTGTGTTTTGTGTTTTGTTGTTGCGTGTTGGATGCGGGATCCTGTTATTTCAGAAATTGACAAAAAATTTGGAAATTTAATTTCCGAAATCGAAATAATATTAATGTTTTTAATATTCTTATATCAAAAGGATTAAAGTTCATTAAGAGAAAAACAATTCTTCTTCTTCAATCTATTGGCGCATTTATTTCTACACGCCAATAAGGAAGGGAAAATTATAAGACACCATGGTGTCTTCAAAACGCTAATTTTTGATATTTTTAACAACCCTAGATGAATATGTGTCTATTCTGATATGACTTAGTATCTACTGAGGCTAGATGCTAACATCTTACTTTTATGATCATAATTTTTCAACTCCATTAATATTTATAACAATATTTAAAAAAAAAAAAAAAAAAAAAAAAAAAAAAAAGGAAGTGGGGCCTCCAGGCACTTCGTGCCCTCTAGCCCCGAAGATGTTAGTATAAAATGCAGTTTATATAAAATGAGGTTTTTTGGGTATAGGGGGCTTCCCAGGCACTTCGTGCCTTCTAGCCCATAAAATTTTTGAGAGTTGTTGCTGTTGACTTTTTTGTAGAGGACTCAAAATAGTATAACTATAAACCGGACAAGTAAGGGTCTATCGTCGCTACAGGAAAAGTTACGGGCGTTCCAAGGAAGTATACTTTGAGAGACTCTTTAGAAACTTTAGACGTTTTACATAACCATCCATGTTTTTACTTTACATCCGATAAAAGTGGTTTGGAAACCGTTATGAGATGGTTAGAGGACATACATGACTATGAGTTTAGATATGACAAGATAGAATATGAGAGAGGTCCTATAAACCGGAGAAAGTGTCATACAAACATCTGTCAAAAGCCGCTTTTTAACTTCACTTAAAATGCCACGTAAGCTACGTAAGAATATACGTAAGAGGAAGAGAGCATTGAAACATCCAATAGTAAAACTGACACCACAACAACAGTTGCAACAACAAATGCTGAATGACCCCACTATGTTGCAACAAATGTCAAGCAATCCTATGCTTTTAAACCGAGTCATTGGTGCACAGAGTGGAGGTTTAAGAGCGGCACTTTTAGCGAAAATGGCAGGCTATGGTGGAGCTGCAGACGGAACAGTCTATAACCCTCAAAGTCAAATGAATTTGAGTTCACTCAAAAATCAAATAACAGATGTCAAAAAGTCAAACATAGACATACAGAAGCAAATAAGTGAAAACGAAAAGAAACTAGAATATGACAGACACACAAAGAAACTCAATGAGTTAAACGTAGAGAAAAAGAAGAAAGAAGAACAACTGAAAGAACTAAGTACAGAGCAATATGCGAAAAAAGTGTCAGAAAAAGCAGCAGAAGTAGCAAAAATGGAACAAGATGTCATAAATTTGAAAAACCATACTACTCAATATAAAGTACTGAAAGATGAAGAGATAAAACAAAAAGCCCTGAAGACATATATGGATAGCGATGAGTATAAAAAAGAAGTTGAAGCAAATGTAAAGGCAGAAAAACTTTTACAGTTGCAAAACCAAACCGTACAGTATGAAAACTTAGCACAAGAAAGTAAAAATAACGACGCAGCCATGCAAAAGGCAATGAAAAGCGCAGAATATATAAAAGCTAACAATGACTGGTTAGATGCCCAAGCCAACGCTAAAGCAGCCCAACTTATAGGGTCAATAAGGACAAAAATACAAGCGGATGAAGACAGTTCAAATGAAGCTTTAACAAATGCTGACTTTAAGAACGCCTTCGAAGCTCTTCATAGTAAGGTGAAACTAGTGAACGACTTCTCATCTGGAAAGAAACTGAAGTCTGAAGGTTTCGACAAAGAGTTAAAAGAAGTAGCACAAAATATGACGAAAATAACAGATGCAGCAACGAGACAGGCAGTTCAAAGTGCCTATGACGCCGTTAGAGCAACTGTTGTGGAAAGTCAAGAAAAAGAGTTACAACAGACCAAAACAGACCTAGTAAATGCTTTCTTAAGAACGAAAAGTCAGGTAGGACATTACGCTGCAGATGGAACATATGTGCCAGCTGGTGGAACTTATATACCAGCTGGTGGAACTTATATACTAGCTAGTGGAACTTATATACCACCAAACCCTCCAAGAGAAGCACCTGCACCAGGACTACCTAAAACATTTACATCGTCACATGGACATAGACACAGGCATGCACCAAAACCAACACAACAACCAGCACAACAACCAACAGTTCAAAACCCTGCACAACAACCAACAGTTCAAAACCCTGCACAACAACAACAACCACAAACAGAGCAAGGACATAAAAGAAGTAGAGAACAAGGAAACCAAGAATTCTTAAAAATGCTTAAAGAAGAGTATGGTTACCCAGATACTCTTGACTTTAGTGACAGATATAAAGAAGCTATTAGAAAGTTCAAGGAAGGAAATACTGACCCGAACCTATTTAGCTTTATGGCTCAGCACCAAATGGGATATAATTTCAAACCTGGAAAATACAAGCTCGCTAAGGGATATGATTTAATAGCATATCATCCAAATGACATGGATGAATTTACTCCGTGATATTTGGTGTCAGAGCTAAATGACAATTCAACTCTCTTCATGAAACGCGTAAAAAATAGAGACGGAACGAAAGAAGAAAGGTTTATGAGTCCGGATGACTTAGATAGGGAACTTGTTAAAAACGGTCTCGGAATATATGAAATGCCAGCAGATGAGGTACAAGAAACTCAACAGGAAGAAGTTCAGATACAACCAGACATGGAAGAAATAGTTCAGCAACAACAGCTAGAAGAGCCTGAAGGAAACGAACAAGTCCCTCCTTTGGAAACTAACTTCACAGAACTAGATGAAGATTTGGAACAGCCGAAAAATCTTGACCCTCAACAAGAGTATGAGGTGAATATGGAATCTTTCCAAGAGTCTAAAAAAAATTCGGCTGACATAGTAGAAGAATATCGAAAAATGTTTGCCGACATACAAAAGACTCCAACACCAGATGAAAATATTCAGCATAGAATGGAAGTACTGAAAGAAAATGTACGCAAATACAACAACCCTTTTTACTTACGACCATATAACGTTCAATCTTTGGCTGAACTCGGTGAAAATAAAAGGTTAAATTTCAACAAAACATATAGAAATGAAACATTGTTTAAAGTTCATTCAGAACCTAACCAAGATGGAAACAAACCTACTTTTGTTTCTGCAGACTATGGAACTACAATGAGATGGGGTCATAAAGCTAATCCGGATAGGTGGTTCATAAACTTACAACCACAATTCCAAGAAGTTGTAGACGCAATGGAAGTGAATGGTGAACCAGATATAGCTGGTATTTTAAGCGCGGCTTTAATGCCATTGAAAGATATGAAACATGCAGATATTTTGGACCAGTATGAAATGAACATGGCTGATGGAAATATAACACCTGACGTTCTAGAACATTTATCTCAAAGAACTACACAGAACCATAAAGATGGTATATTTGGTGAAGAGTTTAGAAAGAAAGTTAGGGACAGAGAAGGAAGAGAACCTATTGTACATGACCTTGCAAATGAAAGTTTGCAAAATGTCATAAAAACTTACTTTGCAGACAATGAACTGAGAAGGGATGAATATTTAAGAAAACTCAAATGGACAGTACCAAATGAAATGTTAGTATTGAAAAACATGTTCCTTGACAAAATAAAACCAACTACAGAAATAAATGACGCAAGACTGAAACGTTGGGTAGAAGCTTTCCCATTCACAAAGGATATTATTGGTAACATGGAAAGAAAACCAGAATGGCTACAAAAACATATATTTGGAAACGAGCTTATTCCATATGGACAGGCACTGTTTGAAGAGCTTGAACCGGAAACTCAGAAAAGAGTCATGCAAACAATACGCGAAGACTCAAATACAAACTATGACAAACTCTTTCTAGGATATTGGTTACCTGAGATGGGCGACCAGAGCCCAAAGGCAAAAAGGACATGGGAAATTTACAACATACTAGGTGAACATGAGGCAAAGATGCAACAACTTGAAGTAGAGGGCAAGTTACCAAAAGTTGCACCAAAGAAGAAGAGAAGAGTTGGAGAAAGTAGTGAAGAAGTAACTTCATCTAGTGAAAGTAGTGCAATGAAGGAAAAAGAAGAGTTAAAAACTCAGTCAGGAAGAAAGTAAAGCTTAGTCCACGTGGGTTCTATTATGACATATAAATCCAACTATTCTATATTTTTACCCATATGAAATGTACGCCGCTCAGAATATAACGCCAACAGTTTTGGATGCCATGAATGGAAATGTTTCCGAATGGTATAACGAATGCGACAATGCCATTAGAAGGTCAGAAATAGTTCCTGGAACTTACGAATATACAACTGCTGTTTCTTATGGAAACGTAGGTGAGTTTGGAGAAGGTTCTTCAACAACAGTAGATATTGCTTGCGACAGGTTTCATATTATTTCTATTGACAACTCTTTCTTATACGTGGAACAAGACATTGAAATAAAACCTTCTGCCAAGTTGTCTGACAAGAAAGGTTGCAATGGAATTTTCTATGTCGGATACCAATATGCTCCAGAAGTTTTCATGGGATATAAGATATATTCTAACTCTGACTTAGTTCAAACAGTAACCTGGGCAAACTATGAATGGTTCGCTTTGAGAAACTCAGTACAACCACAAGCTAGAGAACAAACAGACCAGTATGCAACTATTGAGAAAATAAGAAGACTTGACCCTAACGTTCCAGGAGTTTATGTTAACCTTTCTGGTTCAAATGGAACTGTTGCCACTAAAGTAAAACTGAAACTTAGAGTTCCTTTGTCATCTTTCCTCATCTTCAGGTTTTTAAGATACTTGCCAAACTGGGCAGGTAAGATTTCTATCGAACTTACTCCAAGCAAAAATAACTTAGTCATTGCACCAACACAAGACCCATTCACTCTTACAGACGTAAAGGGAGCAAATCAAACGTCATTCGCCGAATTTTGCAAAGACAAAGTTGACTTAGACTTTGGTTTCTCAAACTTCAACACTGAAGTAAACTATTATTTCAATGCTGCTGGAACTGCTTGGGACCCAGTTAAGTTCACATGCGAAAAATTTGAATGCAAGAGAATAGAAAGCAGACTTGCAGTCTATATGTTGGACCCAGATATTTCAAATGCTTTAGCTGCCAAATATATTGCAGTTCCACTCATGTTCCCTATACACCAAATATCTGTCAAAGACTTTGCAGGTGAAGTTGGAAACCAAAGTGCTGACCCAGGTGCAAGAACAGATATTGCTTTAACAACTGCAATGAAACAGTGCAGATACTATGTTTGTACTGTTCAGACGAACTATAAATGACTATTCTTGTTTCTACAACCCTGGTATTAAATATCATATAAACATAGATGGCAAATATTATCCAAGAGAAGAGATATTCTACAGTGAGGATATGAGGTCATACAACTTGACATTAGATGCTATGAACTTTAACAACAACTTCACAACAACCATTAACCCTGAAATGCAAAGTTCTATTATGCCATATGTGAAAGTATGGACTCATACAGGAGGTCAAAACACTCAATATACAAATGGAGACCGTTCAAACTTTGGCTTGGCATTCCATTTGCTGACTCAGAAGACTTTATGGGTGGTATTCAACTGTTGGTACAGTTCAAATACAATATACTGGTGACAGAGACGGTCCAGATGAATTGAAAGCAAAGAAGTTTACAAAACCAATAGCACTTTTCACGGAAGATGCTCTTTTGAAGATTCGTTCGATGAAACCTGCTGGGGCTCCTCAGATTGGTATAACGACAGCTTCCATCGAGCAGATTTTGGCAGCAGGTCAGTAAGTTGTTCTTGAACTGACTTCTCTCCGTCAAATATTGACAGTACGCCAGTTTTGACATAGTATTGTATTATAAACTTTCCTTTAGAAATATCGGTCAGTTTTGTTGTTATATTTTTGTCAACGTCAAGAACTTTCACCATTTCAGTTATACCAACTTTCTTTGCTTTATGAAAATATTTTGGTTCAGCAAATATTGCTATTCATAAACATTTTCCATTGTTTGTATAAAGAACTATTCTATCAATGAACTTGTATTGTTTGTGTGTGTAAACTTTGTTCTGCTTCAATTCGAAGAGATACTCAAATACGTCCATCTTTTTATTCTAAGTAAAATGTCATTTCCGAAAAATAGAAGCGTAAGTGTTTCAAAAGGTTTAATGGCGGTGGCAGATGTGAAGTTAAATTCACCAACTCAAACAAACAGTCAAAGTGTTATTGTCAATGTCAAAGAAAGAGATGTTGAAGTGGGGAAACCATACGAAGACGAAGATGGTATAACAATAGTTCCTGTAAAAGAACAACCAACATATCCTGAAGTTAGCAGAGACTTAAGTTCTGTTGCAGATATTCGAAACGACTACATGCAACTGAAAGACAAACTTAAAACTCAGGAGAAGATCTGTCAAGCTTTAGGTATAATGTTAAACTTGGTCGAACACAACCCTGTAAAAGTGAACTCATATGTCATTGCACCTCGTGAAGTTTTGAAAGAACTATTGAAACTTTTGACAGAGGCAGACGATATAAACATCAAAGAAATAGAACCCGACATTGCTTGCTGTGGTGTTTCATATAATGTCATTGACAAAATATACGTTATGAAAGGAGGTGAAACGTTGAACTTAAAATATAGTTTCCCAGACGTCATAAAAATATTTGACGACCACAACATTTCATTAAAATTTATTTGCTAAGTAAAAATGTCAAAACTTCTTGAAAGATGTTTGAAGAAAAACAATATAGACTTTATTTCATGTAAAGGACTTTACACACTTTTGAACGATATGAAAGACCCTGTTTTGTTTGTTCGTGTAGACAAAGGAAAGTTCTATGTCTTTACAAAATATTTGAACTTCTTAGACAGAGAACTTCAAGAAACGCCATGTGAAAGTTTAGATGAAGTTCTTCTCCACTTTCAGAAAAACTTTTAAATATATGTAAATGGCAGAAGACATAGTGGTTTATACTATTACGACTAAAAACCCTGAGTCATATAATTCTATAACAACAAACTTACAAAGTCCTCAAGGACGATATTGTAAACTGACCTTAAACACGATGACGACTAAAGCCTGTTTTGCTCTTTTGACACCAGAAGATTTTATTGTTGTGAATGGTAAAAAATACTCCTTTGAAGATACTTACTCAGATATACCACCAACAGGTTTTGTTGACTTATTTAATACTTTAAGGACGGATGTAACATGTGCTGCAACTAGAGCAGGTTTCATTATGTTTGGATGTCTATAGATCCGTATTTTTCCCAAGTGAGCGGGGTATCTCCAATCCCAGCCCTATCGTCCTCCCAGTGTCAGTTTTCAATATAAAATCCAAATTTTTTTTGAAAATAAAAATTTCGAGAAATTTTTCTGATTTTTTTCTTTGATTTCAATAATTCAAAATAAATTTGGGAGTAAAAAGACACTATTTAATGAAATTCATATGAGTGAATGTGGATAAATACTCTCAAAACATACAATTTATCTATTTTTTCTTTATATTATCAACTAATTAGTGATAATTTTTTTTGAATCAGATTTTTTTCATTAAAAACATAATATATAACACAACAATGATGCACACATACGTATCTACACATCAAAATATAAAGCTTGTTTTGGTCTGGGCATCCCAACCCAAAATTCTTAAAAAATTGAATAAAATTGAATACTTGGGGCTGGGATACCCATCCCAAAACCGAATTGAATTTTTTGAATTAAAGAATATATTTATGTATTTATAATATACATGTGATGTCTATAAAAAATACTAAATTCTAAAAAAAATCAATTTATTCAAAACGTATACTAAGTGATCACTTCATTAGTAGGATCAGCAATCCTACTAAATGGTGAGAACGCCACTAACTAAAAAGGGAGTCCTTGGAGCTCTTGATCTCTTGTCAGTAGAGTTCATAATGAGGCATGGCATCTACTGATTAGAGATCAGAGCAATCCTACCTTACCTTCAGGAGCTACAAAGCTCCTAATCGTTACGAGAGGGAGCTTTGGAGCTCCTGAGTCTCCATCAACAGAGTCCCAGATGGTAAATGTCCTTTTCTGATGAAAGATGCGAAACACATCTCCGAACCAGGAGCTCCAAAGCTCCTAATCCTTACGAAAGGGAGCTTTGGAGCTCCTGAAACTCCTTTTACTATAAAATAGGACAGTTTTCTTCTGAGGTTCTCATCAAATCTAAGACTTCAGAAGAAAGCTGTCCTATCAATGTATACTTACACTCTCATGGACTACAAGTGTACAATTTTAAGGCAGAGATTATCCGAGGCCTCTCATCAAATGAGGGACCTCGGATAATCTCTACCTTAAGTAGTCAAATAACTTTTCTCACTATTTAGGAACAAAAGAACAAGAGTTGGAGTACTTTAAGGCAAGATTCTTCCGAAATCTCTCATCGAATGAGAGACTTCGGAAGGACCTTGCCAAATCCTTGAACGCCAATATCCTTGGAACTGAGCTAGAACCAGGGAGAAGTAGCATACTATAGAGCACGATGGTAATCTCGGAAATGCTTATATCGCCCCAAGCACAATATTTAAGAAGTCTAACTCATATATACAAGAAGTCAGGCTGAATAGATATTGTGCATATGGTTTGCAGAACTCTCATGATATTTAAAATTCATGTTATCCCAAAAAGGTGACACTTTGGGTGTATCGTCCATCCCAGGGATGCAAAAATCAGATCACCTTGGATCTATACTCATGATATTTAAAATTCATGTTATCCCAAAAAGGTGACACTTTGGGTGTATCGTCCATCCCAGGGATGCAAAAATCAGATCACCTTGGATCTATATTGGATGTCCGACTGAGTTTACTATAAACGATATGAGCTATAATACAAAACTTATATCTGGTTTTTACTACCAACAGTTTCCTATAACAGGAAAAGGTGTCATACAAGGTCTATCTGTTCCATTGACTTTAAGTACACCTATTTTATATATTGTTTCAAACTTAGGTTCAAAGTGCTATTCGAATGTCGACAGAAACTACTATGACCAAAAGATACTCATGCGTATAAACAACACTTTCTCTGCTGGTTTGCCTATTGTTCATTCGAATGCAGAGTTTTCAGCTTTAGTAAACTCAAACACTTTAGCAAACATAAACTTAACCTTAGTCGACGCAAACTTTGTTCCTGTAAAACTTTTATGTCCTATGTATTTGTCAATGACGGCAGAAAGTTTCGAATTGGAAGATGCAACTGGTGAAAGTATTGTACTACAAGAACAACTTCAACAACAAATAGCTCAAGAACAACAAATGCAACAAATGGAACAAATGCAACAAATGGAACAAATGCAACAACAAAGTCAAGAATAAAAAAAATATTTTTTTTATTTTTATAAAAATGTACAGAATAGATGTTTCAGATTTTTATGACTTCCAAGCCTTCAGAAATATGTGTCCATTTCGAGACTATAACAAAGCAGTCGAGAATTTGAAACGTTTAGTCATTTATGTTGACTCTGCCCCAGAATGTTATGTCATGAAAGAATGGGATGTAGTCTTTAACAAACCTAAAGCGACAATAGTTTCAGAACAAGAATGTAAACAGAAACTTAAGAAAATAAAAGTCGTACAAGTTGGCATGAAGATGTTAGATGCTTGGGATATCTTATTGTCAAAACTTGAAGATTTTTCAGTTCGTGGTATAAAGTTCTATACACCATCTCCAAACTTCTATTCTATCTTCACTGGATATAAATACGAACAAGTAGAATGGAAAGAAAATGTTATAGAAGCTTGGTTAGACCATGTCAAAGAAATTATATGCAATGGAAACGAAAGAGTCTATGAGTATATCTTATGTTGGTTTGCAAACATCTTACAACATCCAAGTGCTAAAAATGAAACTGCTCTCATCATAATTGGAAAACAAGGAACAGGTAAGAACACTTTCTTTACAGATATCTTATGCAAACTGTTAGAAGGTTATTCGAATCCGAATATGACAAACTTAGAAAACATCTGCGGTAAATTTAACTCTTCAATAGAGAATATGAAACTTATAGTATGTAACGAACTTCAAAGTATAGATACAACAAAAGTTTTGAACTCGGATGCTTTGAAGAGTCTTATAACAGACAAAGTTGGAGTTGTTGAAAGAAAATATAAAGACCAGAGAGTTTGTGAAAATGTTGCAAATTTCATCATGGTTTCAAACAATGCCGTTCCGATGAAGTTAGAAAGTTCTGACAGAAGATATGTAGTTGTCAGAACGTCAGATTCTCATATGCAAGATACAGAATATTTTGACGACTTAGCAGAAACTTTGACACCTAACTTTTACAACCACTTGTTCTCATATTTCATGACATTAGATATTTCAAAGTTCAATCCAAGACAAATTCCACATACCGAAGAGAGACAAACATTGTTAGAAGCAAACAAGAGTGTATATGAACTGTTCATAGATGAGACTGACTTTGAGTGTTTAGATGAAAGGTCATTGTACGATTCGTATAAACAATATTGCCAAGAGTATGGTTATATGACAGCGTCTAAACGAACATTCTTGGCAAATGTCAAAAGTCTTTTAGACGTACAGAATGGTGTATATACAAAGAAAAATTTTTCTGAGTAAATTTTAAAAAAAAAATATTTTTTTATCCGATAGAAAAGATGACGAAATTCATCTCAGTAAACAAGTACATGTCAGGACTTAAAGAAGAACTAGACCCATTCACATATTTGAATGTTTACTTCTACCATTTTGAAAAGTCTACATTTGACAAAGTTTGGAACATCGAACCAGTTAAGTTTGCTATTGTGACTAAAAATGGTGCGAAATTTGAAGACTTAGACATAGAAGGTTTGTTAACAGTCAAAGAAAGTTTTGACAGAAGGTTCTCAAACCTTAAAGAAGGCAAAGCATACAAACTTGTTATACCTTATGAACCAAAGAAAGCAGACGACTATGAATATTATGAGTCTAAGATAGTTGAAGTTCAAGGTAGATTGGGTAAGAAGATTTTAGAGTCTAAGCCAGTGTTTACTCCTAAAGAGGAAGAGAACATTGACATTGACCCAGAAATGTTCTAAAAATAAAATTTTATTTTTACATGTCATATCTCACCTTCTCTGGAACTGGTTCAGGTTCTTTCTTCTCTTCTTCTACTTTCTTTTCTTTCTTTTCTCTCTTCTTCTTTTCTGGTGGAGTTATGTCAAACTTCTCAGAACCATATTTTTGTAAAAGTGCTTTGTCATTTAATAGCTCTTCTATTCTGTTTTCTATTTCATTTTCAAGAACAGCGCATGTGTCTTCTTTGCATTCTAAGAAGTTTTGTTGGACTTCATCTCTCCAAGAGGCGTCATCTCTGTCAACAAGTCTGTCATTGACAAATTTTAAGACTGCTCTGCTTAATGTTTTATGGTTCTTGTCATATTCCCAGAAACAGAACTTTAGAACAAATTCCCCTTTCTTGTTTACACTATGTAAGATTTTATGGTCGACAGATGTTTTGCTGTCGAAAAGCTTGTCTCGAATATATATAGCGAAATCGCTAGACATTTTCTAAAAGATAAAAATTTTAATTTTTCTAAAAATATGTTAGAAAAAAAGTTTGCTGACATTGACAAGAAATTTGAGAATGTTTTAAACAAGAACAAGAGGAAGTTGGAAAATGCTCAGATAAAACCCATACATGACAAGTTCTTATTTGCTCAGAATGGTATAACAGGTCTAATTGCACCACCTGGGTCGGGTAAGACTTTCACTTATCTTAAAATGGCTGCACAACAACAAGAACTAGATGAGAAGAACCCATTCTATGAGTTAGTAGTCATTTGTTCGACTTCTGGTCAATTTGACCAAACCGTCAATTCGTTCAAAGATATTATAAAGAAGTCTAAGTTAGTATGTATAAAAGATACTGAGTTGTTAGATTGGATAAAGAAGTACCAAAGAAGAGTTTTGAAGTACAATGCTATAAATGAGTATGTCAATTCTAAGTTTAAAGACCCAAATGAGGAAATGCAGAGAATATTAGAGAAGAAACACTTCAGAAACAAACAGAAAGAGATAGAATACATTTCGAAGAAATTGCAATCTTACGATTGGAAGACTTACCCTCACAGATGTCTTCTTATCTTAGATGATTTCGCCTCTCATCCTTTGTTAAAGAATAGAGAACAAGACATGTGTCGAATTCTTAAGAAGCTCAGACACTTTAACATTTCAGTTGTCATTTGTGTACAGACAGCAAAGAGTTTAAGTAAGGATGTAAAGAGAATACTTACTGATATTATACTTTTCCCCGGATTGTCCGAAGACGATTTCATGGAACTTATGAAAGAGTCCATGGCAGGTAAGTTTGACAGACATGAACTATGGGAGAAGTACAAAGTCATACAAGACCCTCATACTTCTTTCAGAATTCATATCTACGCAAACAAAGTTCAAATTGTAAAAAGTCAAGCTTGAAAAATGTAAGTGTTTGAGTCTTAGTCTGTTGTGGTGCTGGGGCTGTCGGTTCTTCTGGCTTTGGAATGGACTCGGTTGGTGGTACGTCGGACATTCGTTTGTGTCCTGTCGGAAGGAAGGACTTTTCCTGTTGGAAGGAAGGACTTTTCCTGTTGTCAAGAAATTTTTTTCCTTCCGGAAGGAAGGACTTTTCCTGTTGGAAGGAAAAACTTTTTCTGAAGGTCGGCCAAAAAGTTCTCAATTTTCGAAAATTTGAAGGGTTTACGGACGGACAACAAGAAAAATTTTTCCAGTTGTCAAGAAATTTTTTTCCTTCCGGAAGGAAGGACTTTTCCTGCTGGAAGGAAGGACTTTTCCTGTTGGAAGGAAGGACTTTTCCTGTTGGAAGGAAAAACTTTTTCTGTCGGAAGGAAGGACTCGGAATGCCAGAAGGAAGGACTCGGAATGCCAGAAGGAAGGACTCGGAATGTCGGAAGGAAGGACTCGGAATGTTGGAAGGATTTGACAAGACAATTTACCTTATAGAGCTACCTGAGCCATCTTTGGTGTCAAGCTTGAAAAATAAACGCTTTACATGTATTTTTCAGCAACTTCGTCAAAATACTCTGTTATCTTTTCTTTCAGTAATGGCAAATCTTCTTTGAATGTAAGTATTGTACAACCTTTCATATCATAGTGTGTTTGAGGTAACGTATCTTGAACTATCTGTTTAACATCTTCATTCGGTGTCATTGAAATCGGTAAGTTTTCGCGATAGAACCAATTTCTGTCAGATTTGTAAATCTTAGCAAGGTCGTAAAAGCTTTTGTTGTTTCTTCTGACTAAATGCAACATAACCATATCTCTGTCTTCTTCATTTTCATGTCAGTATACTTATAGTTCTTTTCCTTTCCTTTTGGTACCGAACGTGGTATTCTTTTCTGTATGTTTTTGTCTTCTTTCATCATATCTTCTCTCTGCTTTGTACAAAGTTCGTCAAGTAGCATAAGTATGTAGATTGCATAACGAGGTGAGGCCCACATTGCTATTGAACTAGCTAGGAACTTATGAACATATATACCTTTTAGATGTGATGGTAAGTTTTGTCTGTCTTGGTACATTTTTTTAAGTTCTACATGTTCAAACTCACTGAGGAGTTCATGAGTGCTATTTAATTCAAACCAGTCTTGTGGTTTCTTAGTATCTGGTGCAAAACATGCTGTCAAAATACTTTGCATTTGGTACATGTCATCTTTGACCGAACGAATGAGACGTAACTGTTTGTTATACTGAACCCACTCGTATTCTTCACTTATGGCTTCATGAACGATAGCAGTTGTTGTGTTCTCTGATGTTGTCATATCTGTCTTTACATACAAAATAAAAAAATAAAAAAAAATAAAATTAGCGTTATTTTCTATCTTGTATAAAAGACCAAAAATAAACGCTTTACATGTATTTTTCAGCAACTTCGTCAAATAATTTTATAGCTTTATCTATCTCATCTACTTCAAACGTTTCTTTACCTTTTATGGGAGCACCATACATTTTCTCAAACTTTTCAAGTAGTTCTGTTTCAGCAGCTCTCATATCGTTCACAAACACAACCTTGACTCTATTGACTGTACTGTCATATCTTTGAGTTATATTAAATGTTCTTCCTATCTTATATCTCTTTGTATTGAAGTCCTTCGGTTTCTGAACGATGTAAAGTAAGCCTTCACTGCAACGTTCAGAATCGAATGAACCATATGTTATGAAATTATATCCAACAACTGGGTCTAACCATAACAAAACTATTGGTATAAGACTTTTGTCTATAAGATATGCTGTAGTTCCATAGAATCTTACCGATATCATAAGCTCAGGATTTCTTGTCAAAATTTTCTGAGTTGAAGCAATTCCAACCCAATGGGATGTTTTCTTTCCAGATGGAGATATAATGTCTGACAAAGAATATTTGTTGTATTTCTTTGAGTATCTTACGTTTAAATCACCTATTCTAACCACTTTGGTGTCATTGTCTATCTTTTTAACTGTTTCAAACTCAATGTTTAACATTTCCTGTTCTTACATACAAAATAAAAAAATAAAAAAAAATAAAACTAACTTTTTTTTCTATCTTTTCTATCTTGTATAAAAGATATGATTTCAGGGATTTTTTTTACGAAGAGTAAAAGTTCACTTCGTCAAAAAAATACAGTTATATCATGAAATTTGGTCATTTTTTCAGCAAAAATATATTTTAGGTGGAACCAGGTCACTCGGTCACTCGGTCACTCGGTCATTTTAACTTCTCTGAAAAAGTGTGACAACATGACATTTTGACAACAACACAGGAAATGAATTTCATCGTCAATGTTTTGTTGAGATTTCTTCATCTAATTTCTCATGAACTTTCTTGTCTATGTTTTGTTGAGACTTCATCGTCAATGTTTTGTTGAGACTTCATCGTATATGTTTTGTTGAGATTTCATCGTCAATGAGTGTAAATGACCCAAAAATATATTTTAGGGTAGATGGTTAGATCTAACCTCTTTTCTACCCTCTTTTCTACCCCATATGTCCTTACTGAAAAAGTATGTGTTCCATATGTCATTTTACTCAGAATTCAATAAAAATATATTTTAGGGTAGATGGTTAGATCTAACCTCTTTTCTACCCTCATTTCTACCATAAAGTTTTATAAGCGTTTTACATGGTAAACATTGTGAATTCGTGAAATTCTAAACAATTTCGTAGCTTCTATTTCTTCTGTCAGTATGTCAAAAGTTTTCACAATATTGAATGTATCTTTATATTTCTTCTTGACATCTGAAAGAAGGAAATCGTCAGCAGTTGGATAGTTTTTGTTCAGAAATGTCAACATGTCCATTTTATCTTCTGCTGGTTTCTCTACTTCTTTCTTTAAGTCAGCATAGTCGTTTCGCATTCTTTCTATCTCTTTGACGGAGTAGTTATATCTTCTCATTGCTGCTTTACATTTTGAACATTGTGGGTTCATTTTTGCGTTATATTCTGAAACCTTACCTGCAAGTATGACTAAGGCGTCAATGGTTTTCTTTAACTCAAAAGTTGCTGGTTTTATCTGTTGGTTCCATACCTTACCTCTTTTATCTTTATCTCTTATCTGCCATACACATTCAGCAACTAACGAAACAAAGTTGTCGTAGGTCTTAAACTCCCCAGATTTATATATGTCAGAGATGTTCTTATATAACATATCGCAATCTTTGTCCATGACTTTGTGGTTGCAATGAAATCCAAGAAACTCATAGTTTACCTTACGTATGAACTTCCTTATTTCTACTGAGTCAGTTGCTTTGACTTCTATTTCATCGAATTCTGGAATAGTAAGCTTTTGTTGTTGTATTTCAGGAAGTTTAGGTAAATGGTCAATAATATCCTGCATTTCATAAAGATACTGTCCATTTTCTTCATCTTTTGCAGTGCAATCTAAATCTCCTTGGAGAAGTTCCTGCTTTATCTTCTGGATTTCTGTTTCGAAAGTAAACGAATCTGGAATGAAGCTTTTCATCTCTACTAACATTGAAGTTGGGTTCATGACTAACGAGTTTGGTGAAGTTGTTGCTAACATGTTCTTACAATAAAAATAAAAAATATTTTTTTAAAAAAACTAACTTTATTTTTTATGTTTTTTATGTTTTTTGTGAAAGTGTCAAAATTCAAGAGTTTTGTGTGTTTTCTACGATGGTAGAAATGAGGGTAGAAAAGAGGTTAGATCTAACCATCTACCCTAAAATATATTTTTATTGAATTCAGCAACAAAATTCAAGAGTTTTGTGTGTTTTCTACGATGGTAGAAATGAGGTTAGATCTAACCATCTAACCTAAAATATATTTTTGTCTGATTTACGCTCATGTTTGACAAAACATTTACGATGAAATCTCAACAAAACATATACGATGAAATCTATTTCCTGTGTTGTTGTCAAAATGTCATGTTGTCACCATTTTCAAAAAGATGTTAGTTGACCGAGTGACCGAGTGACCTGGTCGCCTAAAATATATTTTTTTTTTATCTTAAGGAAATTCATGAAAATTCACCTGTTGAACTTTGTATAAAAAGCAACCCGCTGTTTTCCGGCGGTTGGTATATTCTTCACAAAATGCTTGTTTTGAGGTCGAGCCACTTTTGGCTCCACCTCTTTTTTCAACCAAAAACTCATTTTTGTCGAATTCAGCACAAAATTCATGAAAATTCAAGAGGGTAGAAATGAGGGTAGAAAACAGGTTAGATCTAACCATCTACCCTAAAAGTATTTTTCAATACTTTTTCAGCACTTTTCCGTAGTTGTATATGAAAGACAATTCGAGATAAAAGTCATAGTATAATGGTAAAATATGCTGCACACCGTTTGTTGTGAACCAAACTTGAAAGTCAGAGAAACTGTTACTAGGTGGTTCGTAGAATTTAGAAGCAAAGTCATAAAAGTCCTTACCCATACAAAGAAAACTGTTGTTGCTTGAACTGAAACTTGCATGACATATAACATTTTGAGGGTCAAACACGTTTCTATAAACTGTCAAATCTGCTGGTGGAAGTATAAATTTAAAAGGACCGTCAGGTGGCAATGGTTCGTTCTGGTTTAGTAACCGAAGAAATTGCGCCCAAGAACGCCTGTCCACCCCCCAATATAAAAACTCAGTATCTC